CCGACACACTACCAATAGCTTAAAGCACGGAATTACGATATCTCTCACTTTACTTTGGCGGCGGCAAAGACGGCAGTGTGACAGTGAAGAATGCTTTTTGTACAACCACCCACTAAGTGAAGAGGAACTCAAAAAAGTTGTCGGCTTCGATGCACCTAGGAAGCGTGCAGGTGACAGCTATAATGCGTCTAAGCAGCGTGCAGGTGACAGCTACGATGCCTCTAAGCAGCGTGCAGGTGACAGCTCCGATGCCTCTGAGAAACGTGCAGGTGACAGCTCCACGCGTGGATGTGTGTCTCGGCGGCTACTTTTGTTGTTTCTGGGGTTATTGTGTTGTGTTGTCCTCTGCTGAGTGGTGCTCGGTTGTGTGGAGTTTGTGCTTCGAGTGAGAGTACCTCACTCTCTCCACGCCCCCTGAGAATTAAATAAAGTCTACGGTGGACACGCATTTTTTTTTCTGGCTATTAAAATTCACGATGTTTTTTTTTGTTTTTATTGTACCCACAATTTGCGCTCTCCTTTCGGCGACAGCGCAGCGCGGCCCTCAATTTTTTTATTCCCTCCGTTTTGTTTGTCATATTGTTTGCCTCTATCAATGACAGGAGGCGAATCACCGTTTTTTTTTGTGTTTTTGTTGAGTGTTTTGTTGGTTTACTGCTTTGCGGATGTGTTTTTTGTTGTTTTGTCGGTTTCGTTCTTGACAACGGCGTTGGGCCTGTGCGTTTGCCCAGCGGCGGGACATTCTTCACTGCGCCCCTGCACAGCGGTCGCCGCAAGAGGGACCGGGGCTCTCTCTTTTATGTCCTGGTTTTTTGGTGGGGGCGGACGTGTGCCACGGTGCTGGCTGACGCGCAGGCCATCGAATTCGTTTGAAAAGACACAATGAAAGATAACTAACCACCTCCGTTGGGCGGCTGCGGACGCTCTCGGCATTATGTGTCTGCCGATGGGAGAAGGAAAGAAGGAAGGAAGGAATGGAAGCCACAGCAACGCACTGCGGCTCCCTGTGGAGGTTAAACGGTGTGTGGACACCGGGGGCTTCAGTGGTTAAAAGGAATATATCATTTATTATTTTTATATGCGGCCAAAACATGAAAACTTTTTTTTTGTTTGAAAGATTGTGCAGGGGCCTTCCACAACGGTATTTTTTTTTGTTAATTCATATTATTTGTGTGTTGCCACTGCTTAGGCTGCGGTGCCATTTTGAGGTTTGGTCATCTCTTTTTTCCGCCTTTTCGTACTGCATCTATTCTGTCTCTGTGTGTGTGTATGTGCGTTCTCACACGCTTTGCTCTTCTTCCTTCTCTTTTATTTTTGTACTGCAGGCACGCACACACTATACAATACAATATATATATATACGCACACACATTGCGGTGCACGTGGAGGATGCTTTCGTAGTCGGTGCTGGCAGTGCCGCCGGGTGGCTGCTGCTGCCTTCTGTGTGGATGAAGAGGCCGAGACAACGACAAAGGAATAGTGTGCGCTGTGACTCACCCCCTTTCCTTGCGAGTGCAGGGCGCTGCGTGTGGGGGTGTCGTCTTGAGCGCGGCGCCGCCAACTACAACGGCGCGGC